AAAGAGGTTAGAATAATTTAGTACAAAATTCTCAAGTTAGTGAAAAGGAAATAGGTCCAGAGAAATTAAGCGACTTTCTCGAGGTCACCCGGCTTAGGAAGGACACAGGCTGTGTTACAACCCAAGATCTCTGGTTCCCAGAAACTGTTTTTTCCATTGTATCATTCAAGATGGACTTAAATTATTTTCCAGGAATTCTGATAAACAAACAACAACAACAAAAAAAGAACAGGGAGAGGGGAGGGAAGTATTCCATTTTGAATTCCAAGTCTCTAAGACAATTTTGGAGATAGTGTTTATTTGGGGGTGGGGCGGTGGGGGGTGGGGGGCAATCAGATAAATGACTACAATATGTGAAATGTTTATGGATTTATTTTTAAAATAAAATGCTACCCAAACATTGGTAGAAATTATGAAATGCTCAAAGTTTTTTGGAACAGAGAAGCTTGCTCCCACCTGCTCAGACACAGTATTGGGGCACAGAATTACTCAGGGGGCACAGAATTACTTCCTTACATTTTCACCTGTGATGTTTCAATCAACACCTAAGGAAAAATGCTGCCTTTGGGGCTTATTCAGCGACTGCAACAGTGATTGCCAGCTGCTGAGAAAAACTTATTTGAGAGCCATGGAGAGAAGAAAATACTTCCATGGAATTTCTCTGTTAGTTTCCCTCTTTACTGTAGAAAAGACAAATGTGAACAAATTTCCAATCTCATCTGGTTATACGGCGCACAAAAGTTTGGTTATGTTGAGGGAGAGCAACACAAATTTAGCAAGCTTTCAAAATCAGTTCGTCCAGCCTGTCTGATGAGCTGTCACTAGAGCTGTCACTGGTGGGAAAAAAAAAAAATCGGCTTTTTAGAAGCAAGCCGCATTACCTCCAAGCTCAGTAAGGAACACTACCCAAGCCCTTATAATGAATCTCTAGACTCTCACGACTAGCAAAGATATATCAGATGTTTTCATTTCACCGGGAACTCCCAAGGGCCTAGGATGGTCAGTTTTTGTCGATCTTACCTAGCTCCATGCTTTGCAAACTGCAAGCACTCAGTAAAGTGTTAACTCCAAGGCAAATTCAAGCCAAATGTGTTTTCCGAATGATCCCCACACGGTGCCTGCCACAGCACTTGTATTTTCTACTCCAATGTTTTGTTTTTCTCTCCTCCCTCCCAATAGTAAGAGAAGTAAATGTAAAACTCCTGAGCCAACCCAATCAATTCTAAGCCACGTGCTGTAGCTTCCTGGGAAGGTGAAGGAACGGGAACGTGGCGTAGTAGTAAACCGTAGTAAAGAGAGGAGGGAAACAAAATGGGGCACGTCACATGGTCACGGCCTGGATTTTTCTCAATTAAATATAAGAGGAAGTGTGCGTTTCCGGCCTCTGTCAGTGGGCTGGTTGGACTTTCTCATTCTTAGGATTCTGGTCTGGATGCACACTAACAGGGCCGAGTGCACAACATCCTCCGGGAAGGGGGTGGAGGGGGCGTGTGTTTGGCTCGGCTCTCGCGGCTCCAGAGGGAAGGGGTGGCGGGAGAAGGGTAGGCTACAGCCCGGATGCCTGGCCCGCCGCCCACGCCGGACCCCGACCAAGGCCCCCCAGTCGACCCCCTTCACCCGAGGCCCCTCCCCACCGCTGCTGCAGCACAGCCTGCGCTCGCGCTGATTGGCTCTGGCGGGGGCCAATCAGCGCCCGGCTGCCCCGCCCACTCGGGGCCAGTCTCTGCCCCGCTCTGCTGGGGCCAAGGGCTCGGCCGCCGCCGCCACCGCCACCGCCCACCACGCGCCGCGCGCGGAATGGGGTCCCGCCGCCCCCGCGCCCTCGGGCGACCGGCGACGGACCGGGTGGGAGTCTGAGGGTAGCCTCCGCCTCGATACTAACCCCTCCAACCCCGGGCCAAAAGGGCTTGTAGGAGGGAGGGGGAGCCAAGTGCCAAATAAATAGAGAGGCATGCAAGAAGCAAAGGTGACCGTGGAGATGAGAAAGTGCCAGACAAAAAGGCCACACAGCGAGGTGACAGGAGGGAGGAACAGGGAAGGAGAGATGGGAGGCAGACTTGGAAGTAGGAGTCCTGGAAATCACAGCTAGGAAATGCAGTGGAAGGAAGAAAAATGGACTTTTTTCCCAAGGGGACAGAACAAAATGACAAAAAAAAAAAACCCTAAAATAGATGGCAGGAGTCTGTCTTTGCCAAAGCCTGCTCTACCTGCCCAGCTGCAGTTTCCAAACAAAACAAACTTGTAAACGCTGGTTGAAGATAGCTGGCTGCTGTGCCCTTTCTGCCCTGCTTTCGGGGCTCTCCATTAACTCTGGGGAGAGTAGGCCACAAGTACTGCGAAATTCGGAAAGGGAGCCAAAGAGAGAGAAAAAGAGAAAAAAAATAGACAATGGCAGGAACATTAAATAAGAGGTGGGAGACAAGGGGGGGTGGGAGAGGAGGGTACCGGGAAAAAAATCCAGCAGGTTAGAACCCAGAGGAGACGTGGATGGACGAGAGAGGAGACGGGAAACAGAAAAGGTGATCAGACAGAAGGTGAATCAAGGGCAGCCAACACTCCTGGGCACCTGCGCTAAATGCCTCAGAAACATTCTCCTGTAACAGACGGTGGAAAACAGTCAACAAGCCGAGACATTTAAAATGAGGAGTTAAGAGAAAGAGCACACACACATCTCCAAGCCCCTCATTCCTTTTCCTGTTTTAGGTTTTACCTGAGAAATAAGAAAGACAGGCAAAGATAGCAATTGCTGAGAAGTTAGGAAAACGTTTTCACAAAGTAACATACTCCTTCCCAGGCAAAGGGGTTTGCCACAGACAGGCTTGATTTCTTTTTGTTTCATATGATAATTACCTATTAAATTATACCTTTAAAGGCAACAGGGCAAAGGCAAACAAGCAGAATTCAGGATGTAAATGTGCCAAGTAGCATTTGGTGCCTCACTTAAAGCACACACACACCCTCACCTCTCTCCATTTACATCTTACAAATACACATTGTAGAATTTTTCTGGCATGGTGCTGTCCATTGCTGGTCTATTGCTGCTCCAGAATTATTAAGGAATGATTATATGGTTGTTCCAGAATACTACATTTTCCCTCAAAAAGTTAAGACTAGAAGATTGTTTTGTTTGGGTTGGTTTGTTTTTCATGTATCCTCAATAAAAGGAGGATTTTATTTTAAAGCCGTTTTGAAAAATGAAAACTTTATTTGGTCAACTTCCTTCAAAGCAAAATATTATTTATTCTACTTTCAAAAACAAAAAACCCTGCTCAAATTAAGAAAACAGGTGAGTTGTTTCTTAGCTGCTTCTTTCTTCTTTAAAACCAAAATCTTGGTTCTGCTGGAATTTTTTTTCCCCTTTCAAATTCCCATTCCTTTATAAATGAGAAACTTTGCAACACAAACAGCTAAAGGGATCCACATGTCCCAAAACATCATTTGAAACAACCAAAATTTTTACTGTTGATGCACACAATTAAACCTCTCTTGTAGAGAAGGAATCATGAAAATAAATTAAACACTAATCAAATAAATGTTTTGCTTAATATCCCCTAAAATCTTAGTTTGAATGTTTGTATGCCTGTACCTTGTTCCAGAAAACAGCAAATGATATGGGTCAAATATTAGAATCAATAGGAATAGGAACCCAAAATACACATGAATTTCTTATGGATGGGCACATATTAAGAAGAATAATGTAAAAGCACATTTGATGAAACATATATAAAAAGGTTATCACAAGATAATGTTTGTCAGAATAAAGTGTTTCCAAATGCTGGAAACGTCTACATTGCCAACTCATCACATTATTTGCAAACTATACTCCTCTCCTCTGCCCACAATTATGACCACCAGAAAAAAGGCTCAACAGAATGAAGGGCAGGCTAATTTCCTATTAGAAATGTTTTTCGTTTTCAGTACAGCCTTAGCCACAGAAGACCTGAAGCCAACTTTCAACATTAATGAGGCATCCACTCTAGAACTTAAAAGGCAAACAGTAAATATCCTACAAAGGAAGAGGACAAGGTTTAGCCCTTACATTCAATGCAGATGAAAACCAAACTCTTCCATCTCCCTGTCTTAATATTTCTTTTCAACGTAAAAATGTTAAGCAATTTTACAGAAGATGCACAGTAGCCCCTATATGATCTACGTGGGGGTCTCTGAACAGGCCTTAGCAAGAACAGACAACTGTAAGGCTGACACGGTGGGATGAATTTTCATAACTCTTAACTCAATAATGGGTCCCAGATGCAGGCAGACTTCACTGTGTAAAAGCAGCCATGCCTGTGAGGTGATGGGTCCGTGTGTGGGTATATTTCATCAATCTTCATTCAGAAACAAAATGTCACCAATAATTACTTTTTAAAGAGAGTCATAGACAGACAGCTCTTTCTCTAAATCTGTAAGCCTAAAGCAAGCTCTTACTTCTGAATCTTTTTAGGGCAACAGGAATAAAAATTGATGTTTCCCACTGCTACTTATGTTGCCTTGGTATTGTGAAATCACAGAACTAAAGTACACAGGGCAACTTGATAAGATCACCCTTAAGAGTTCTGAGAAATTACCTTGAAATGAAGGGCTTAGCCCCTGGATTAACAAATATTTTTGTAGAACTGTCCCTTCTAGAGACTGACCTCAGTATATAGTCAAAAGAAAACTTCCATAAGGAGATCAAGGTTCTTACAAACGAACTTCACAAACCTCAGAACTGGTATTAACAGGATATATGTCTTGGAAATACTAAAGTACTTCATTTGGGAAACTCAGGGGGAAAAGCTCTCTGGAGTGGCTGCTCCTATAGATTTACCTGACCACCAGGCACATGTCCCCTCCTGTGCCCAGACCTCTCCCTCCCAGGAGTGCACTCCCTACAGAAGCAGAGGGAGGAGAGGGAAGGGCCCTGGGGCAGAGGCACAGAATTCGAGCACCAGGTTAAAAGCAGTTTTGTCTTCTGACTTTGTCACCATGAAACGCACCTGCTGTGATGTCCAGTTGAGCTACTGGAGGTCCTCTGGCTGCTTCTGGAAAGTGATGCTGGCATAGGCGCTTAGATCCTCACTGGAGCGGCTGGTGGGGCCACTCTGACTACTGCCCAGAGGCTGATGCGGGGCCGGGAGAGGAGGAGGCTGCGGTTGAGGTGGGCACTCTTGAGGGCGCTGTTTGAAGTCCTCGACCAAATCCAGGTCTATGTAGTTGAGACCATTCTCCAAACCGCCAGCGGCCCCGCACACTTGGGCCAGCTCCTTGGGGGCTCCCCCGAGCTCCCCAGGCCTCAGCCACACGTTCTCGAAGGAAGCAGAGCTGTGGCGTTTGACATCCTCGGCGCTGTTGCTGCCGCCACCACCACCGCCCCCGACGGCAGCCCCGGCTCCGAAGGGCACCGTGTTGCCCACCCGGGTGGCACTGGGCGTCGAGGAGAAGGTCTCGGAGCTGTGCCGCCTCCTGCACCCTTGCGGGTCGGCACGGATCACTTTGGCACTCTGGTTGCGGTTGGGGCTGAGGTTCACCCGCGTGAAGGCGCTCGGGCCCCCCAGCAGGGCCGAGCGGGCCGCCAGCTCCCCTGTTCCCGGAGGCGCAGTGGAGGAAACAGAGGCCGTCGAGGATGAGGAGGGAGCGGCCGCGGTGGCCCCGGGCAGGCTGGCTTCCTCCACAACGACGCCCGTCCGCATGTCGGCGTAGCTGATGGGCGCGACGGGTGAGGTGTCCACGTAGTTCTGCCGGGGACCGCCCATCTGCATGGTCATGTAGTCGCCGCGGCTGCCGGGCACCGCCCTGGTCGGCCTGCACACGCTAGCAGCTCCAGGGGGCGCCGGGCCCACCCTGCCCGGCTGAAGCCCCACGCTCTCCTGCCAGGTGGCCCTCCGGCCTGGCCCCAGGTCCATGTTCATATACTCTTCTGCGCCCGTCTCCTCCTCTCTGGGAGCTGGCTGGAGCTGGGACGGACACCTGATGGAAGGCGAGCTGTGGGACACCACCGGGCCCGATAAGTAGCCTGGCTGATCGCTCCCAAATTCAATATTCACATACTCCCCTGGGCTCTTGGGCTCCGGAGGGAGCAGCAAGGGGGGTGGCGGCTGCTGCTCTCGGGCCCGAGGTAAGGTGCTGGCCTTGGGATCCCCCAGAGACAGCCTCGTGGGCCGAGCCAGGCGGTTGTTGGTCTGGGCAGCTGTGTCCACCTTTCGAGGCAGATGGGCCTGCAGGACCTGATGATGGAGATGCGGGAGCCCGGGCTCCGGCCGAGCCCCACAGTACCCCCCGCCCAGGCTGTCGCTGCTGGTGGACGAGGAGGAATCTTCTGCGGCCGCCGTGTAGAGGAGTCGACCGGAACTGGAGGAGAGGCGGAGATGCTGGGGGTGCCGGGTCTCCTCCAGCTCCCCAGGGCGCTGGGTGTGCTTAAAGGACCTTGGCAGTGAGTAGTAGGAGAGGACGGGCTTGTGCTGCGGGTCCTCGGGGCCATAGTAGCAGTCGGAGGGGCTGCTGGTGTTGGAGTCCCCGACGGGCGACATGTTCATGTAGTCACCTGTACAAGACAAGAGTTTGCCACTACCGCTCTCCACCGGGAGTTTGGGGTGTGGCAGGGCGTGAGAGTGGTGGCCCCCTACGCCATTTGCCCAGAGTTTGCCATAGCTGCTCCCAGAAGGGGCGGCGCCGCCGCTGCTGCCGCCGCTGCTGGGCCCACCTCCAATGTCAGGAGAGCAGCTGCCGCTTGGGGACATCATCATGTAGCCGTTGGGGTCCACTCTCTGGGGATGGCGTCTGATGGGGTTGATGATCTGCTGCGGGGCAGACACGCTCTTGGGGCTCATGGGCATGTAGTCCCCACTGCCTTTCCGGCTGCCGGGCACCGGGGCCACCCCTGGGGACATGGGCATGTAGCCATCATCGGTGTGAAGGCTGGAGGTGTCTGGGCGGTGGTGGCCCCCACGTCGCTCCAAGGGGTGCATTTCCAGACCCTCCTCTGGGTAGGAGTGGGTGGGCACGAAGGCGGAGTGCCGGTAGCTGGGTACTCGGCCTCCACTGCCACCTCCTGGTGGGTAGGTGGGCATCATTTCGGTGTATTCCTCAATGGAAGCCACAGAGGACTGAGACGGGGTTTTCTGGTGGGAAATGGTAGGCGAGGTGCCCGCAGAGTGAGTCCGCTTTCGGAACCGATTATCCAGATCTGCCACACCGGCTGCTTCCTCTCCTGGCAGGGCTGGGCTCGTGCCCAAGCCGGCAGCTGGCACATAGCGGTGACCATTGCCACCCCGGGGCAAAATGTAGTGACCATTGGGGGCAGTGAGGGTGGAGGCCCCCTTGCCTCCCATGCAGATGTAGTTGCTTAGCTCCTCCTCACCCCGGGCAGGCGGGGTGTGGCCCAGGGAATCTGGGGTGACGCTGCGGAAAGAACTTCGGAAATCGCAGGGACTGGAGCCATACTCATCGGAGGAGATGAAGCCGCCATCACTGGGGGAACCAGACACAGAAGCACTAGACCGCCGCGGGAAGAGGCAGTCTGAGGTGGAGCCGTGGCCACTCGTGCTGCTGGACGACAGACTGACCGGGCTGGTGGCGGAAGGCGAGCAGCGAGAAGAAGGCATGGGGATGGAGCGGCTGTGGTTGAGAGGCGGGTGCAGCCGGGAGCTGCCTCGATGGCGGTGGGCGTGGGTCCTGTTGGTGCTAGGACTCACAGGACTGCCGTCCACAGAGGCGGGGCGAGACATGGTGCCTTCGCCATCACTGGAGGCACGCACGCGGAAGGAGCCCTGCTTCCCGCCCACCAAACTGGCCGGGGAGGTGGCCGTGATGCTCTCGGTGCGCGAGCGGCGGGTCAGCCCCACCTGGCTGGGTGGAGGGTTGTTGAGGTGATGCCTCCGCAGCGGCACACTGATGGGGTTGGAGCAGTTGGAGGATGACTGACTCTTGCTTCGAGGGCGGAACTCATCGCTCATGGCCCGCATGGCCTCCAAGATTGTCTCGTGCATGTTCTGGGCCACCACGGAGTCGTCCACCTGCATCCAGAACTCCCCCGGGCCCGTCACTGCGGAACGGCCCACTTCGATGAAGAAGAAGTTCTCTGAGTGGCCACAGCGCCTGATGTTCATCAGCTGCAGCACCACGGCCGCCGCCTCCGAGTTCAGCTTCACGAAGCTGATGGTCTTGCTGGTCAGGCAGAGGCGGTAGATGCCAATCAGGTTCTTTGTCTGACCCAGGCCCTTGGGTTTCAGGATCACCTGCCAGACCTCCTTGAAGGCGGGTCCTGGGGGCACGTCCCCGTAGCTCAAGTCCTCCCCGGCCTCCCCGAGGCCGGAGCTGCCACTGCAGCTGCCCCCGCCGCCTCCGGCCCCAGGCGCCGCGGCCCCGTCGTGGTGGCCCTTGGCACGGTTGTGCAGCTGCAGGAGGGCCTGGTACCAGCTGTCCTGCTCGGCCTCGCTGTCTGCCGCGATGGCAAAGTGCTCGTCCCGGGTGTAGAGGGCCACCAGGTGCTTGTTCTTGGAGTCCGCCCGCTTGTTGATGTTGAAGCAGCTCTCCAGGGGGATCGAGCGTTTGGGGGCGCTCGACTTGTGCCGCCACTTCTTCTCGTTCTCGTAGTACTCGAGGCGCGCCGGGCCCCCAGCCTCGCTGGCCGCCCGCAGCACGAAGAATCGCTTGTGCATGCTCTTGGGTTTGCGCAGGTAGCCCACCTTGCGCACGTCCGAGAAGCCGTCCGTCTCCGGAGGGCTCGCCATGCTGCCGAGCAGAGGGAGGCGCCGAAAAACAACCGGGTGGGGGGCGGAGGCTCCTAGCCGCGGCCCCGCACATGCAAACAGGGCTGGAGGCGGCAGAAACCCCGACTCCGAAATCCACGCCGCCCTCTGCGCCGGGGAGGGGCGGTCGAGGGAGGACGCAGCAGCTGCGCCAAGGAGATAGCCCCGACCCGAGTTTACTGGCGTTTCATGCCCTGGGGGGGAGGCAACGCGTCCGGCGCGAGTGCAGCCCGGATCCCCCGAGAGCCAAGTCTCCTCTCAGCCGCCGCGATCGGGAAGAAGCTAAGATGCATCTCTCGCCGCCGGGGCCAGAGTCCGGCGCTGGCAGGCGGCGGCCCGGGCGGGCGGGCGAGGTTGGGGCGGGGGGGGGGGGTCCTCGCCTGGCCCCTCCAGGCGCGCGCGCGCGCCTTCCCTCCGGAGTTCCTCTCTGGAAGTAGCGATTCCCGAGGCAAATTAAATATCCTTGGGCAGGGGGAGGCGAGCTGCCAAGTCCCAACGTTGCACGGGGTTCTCCCTCCTCCTCCTCCTTCGCCTCTTCCTCCGCCTCCTCCCACCCCCCGACCGTCCCCGCCGCCACCAGCCGCCCAAATACCAGCTCAATCGCAGAGACCGCGGCGCTGCGGCTGTTGCTGTTGCTGCCGCAGCCCGCGGACGCGTCCTCTGCAGCCCCCGATCGGGCCCATGTCGGCGGGCGGAGAAAGTGGCTTTTCCAAGCGAAACGCGACTAGGAGGCAGCCGGGGAAGCTGGGGGCGCGCCGAAGGGACAGGCTCATCCCTGCCCCTCGCTCCAGTCGGCCGGGGAGGAGGGGAGGGGATGAGGGCGGGAGGCGAAGGTGGGGGGGTCGGGGGTGCGGGGGGGGAGGCTGGGGAAGGAGTCGGGGGAAGACGCCTCTTCCCCGGGAGGCGCTGCCGCTACTTATCCCCTCCTCCCTCCTCCTCCTCCGAGAGTTGCCGAGAGCCCCAACCAAAACAAGCGGCGGCGTCTGGCTCTGCGCGCCGACCGCGCCGCCGTCTCACTCGGGAGGAGAAAAAAACACGTGACGGAGCCTCCGCGCTCCGCAGCCCGGCCGCCGCCGCCGGGAGGCTCCCGCCCGGGTCTCTACATTCCCGGCCGAGCCCGCCCCGCGCCCGCCCCTCTCCGCCCCCCGGCTGTGCCGCAGAGGCGCCGGCGCCCGGCCTCGGCACCACGCTCGGGCAGCGCCCCTATGCGGCCGGCCGCCCGGGCTCAGAGCCGGCCTCCGCGCGCCACCCAGGGCGCCCCAGGCCCGCAGGAATCCCCGCCGCGGGCGCGGGCGGGGGTGTTTGGGTGTCTCCCCGAAAGCACGAGGGGAGTCTGGGAAAACGGGGGAGGGGGGCGAGCCCGGGAAGACGCAGGAGTGAGGGTGGGGGGCGACGGGGGGGCACTGCGGCTACTGGGCCCTGCGTGGGAGGGCCCGAGTAGGGGGGGACTCGAGAGCTGGGCTGGATCTTACCTAACAGGTAAGAGCAGCCACTCCGGAAAGTGTTTCTTCCCTCCCTGGAAATCTTTTCAGTGTGATAGGCCATGGTGAGATCTGTATTTTCGTGAGGTTTTACTAAAGGACTTCTGGGCCAGCCTTTCACCTTGGAATCCCCGAATTTGCTGCAGTGAAGTACCACGACAGAACAGAGGGACGCCCAAGGGCAACGACTGGGGGAGGGAAGGAGGAGGTTATGGTCACTCCCAAACTAGAAGAGGGAGCCCGGGGAAGTGTCGTGTGTCCGGAGTGGTGGGGTTAGCTGCTGATCCATTAGGGAGAGAATGTAAATATCACAGCTTCTCCCCACCCCATCCCACTCCCGTCTCACCCTAGCGAGCGGTCGGGGAGTCACACCTTGGGAGTGAAGGCTTGGGGAGAAAAGGAGACTCCCCTTATCACATTCCGAAACCTATTTGTGATTTAAAAAAAAAAAAAATGTTAGGGACCTACAGAGGGTTCGTAAGGCCAAAACCCTACTGGATAAACATTGGCCGAAGTGTCTGTTTCACAAACAGCTTCCACACCCATCGAATCACCCCATAAAATTTTTACCCTTGACTACAAGGATAATCGGGAGAAAACAAGGACGGTGCCAGCTGAGTTGTACAGGAAAATGGGTGTTTCGTGGGTAGCAGAGGTCAGCAGCTTGGGTCTACCTGCGGAGACTCTTAGGCTGTTAGCTTGCGGTATCAATCACCACAAGCAAACGCTCCCCAAAGTTTTTTGTTTGTTAAGGTGATCTACAGATCATTAAGGACCCTTTAAAAAATGACTCCTCGTCTGTTTGACGTTATCTTATTTTACCACCCCAGTCCTGACCCGTTTGGGGGTCTCCACCACCCCCTCCGCGCAGGAGACCCTCCCCAGTCGCCAGCTCTCAAGCACTGCCCGATGCTCGCGACAGTGGAGGCGCTGGGCATGCGCTGGGCAGGAAGGACCCGCTGGGCTGCGGAGGAGCCAGCCTGGGCCTAATACCGGGCTGAGGGGCGGGGAGAGTTTCTTATGGTAGCCTGCTGATTGGTGGGGCTGCCTGTCTTTCAAACCTTGCGCTGCAGGAGGGGAGGTGGGGAGAGAGGGTGAGGGTACCAAGGTAGGTTGCAAAGCGTAGTAAAAAAAAAAAAAGAAAGAAAAGAAAAAAGAACTAAAGGCGCCATTCAGCAGCGTGTGAGATACGTGAACTGGGGTACCCGGTATCTGTGGAGGAGCTACACCCCACCAAAGCCTGGGAGCTTTTCATTTCTTCCCTCACCTTCTTATCCCCTGCCATCATGCAGCCTCAACTGAGCCTCGTTCATCTGTAATTTGTGTACACGCTGTTGAATTGAAAGCCCGCCCTTCTCTCCCTCTGACAGCTTGGTGATGTGGGCACACGTGCCCACAACAGCAAAGCTATAAATAGCAGATGTGATCCGGTAACTAGGCGGCAATAACAGTGACCGGGATTCTGGGGGGAAAGCGTGTTTTATGGCGAGTACAAGAGGGGAATGCGAATAGGAAAGTCTGAAGTTAGTAGTAAAGTAATTGTGGGGTTTTACCCTTGGGGGGGGGGGGTAAAAGTGTTGTTTACTAGTAATAATGTAATCTAAGGCCAACGGGCTTTTTACAGGTTTGATGTTTAGCGCAGGGTGGGGGTGGAGAACATTTCACATTTTGTAGGAAAAATAATCCAAACCCATTTACTTTAGAAATGATGCTCCTCTTCAAAAATAAAGCTAACTGAAGGTAGTATATACCTCTATGGGAAACAAAATACTCTTTTCAAGGAGAAAGAGGGATCTGAAAGATCAACCTAATTTGCAAATATTTTAGGAAAATCTTCACAGAAAGGTTAGAATTTTGATCACATAAAAATGTTATTTTTTTTTATTATAAAAGCGTTTAAAAAAAAACTCTGTGGGAAAGGATCTCTGCTCTAAAAGCCCAACTTCAGTGGCTAATATATTCATTAGAAATCATGAAATAAGTCAGATTGCTGACATTTTTTTTCCAAATCCATGGATTTCCCATCATAGATAATCACTGATGGTAAGATGTTCTTGTCCTTTCTTCCTACTTGCTGATGTTTTACTACCAGTGTTAAAGGTGTTTAATAGTTAATTAAAATTATACTATAGTAATTCATATTTCTTTACTTTCTTCTTTTATTAATGGGTTGAGCTAACTCTGGAAATGCATATATGGTTTATATACAGAATAGAAAGGATGCTTTTGTGGAAACTAACTGAAGTAATTTTGAGCAGGTACAAGTATTATCCTGCCAGCCTATGCTAAATTAGTCTTGTAGTGTACTATAATGAAATATACTGTATGAAAAATTGACTCCCAACTGAAAATTCTCAGAAACCAAAACAGCATCGTTACCAAACACTAATCTATTGCTCAATGCTGCCATCTATAGGACACTTAGAGATGACTTGCATAACATTCTAGAGTGTGATAGTATTAGTCTCTCAGTTATGTCTAGAGACATGCAACCCCATGGATTCTAGCTGGCCAGGCTCCTCCATCTATGGAATTTCCCAAGCAAACATACTGGAGTGGGTTGCCATTTCCTCCTCCAGGGGATCTTCCTGACTCAGGGATCGAACCCACAACATACAGAAGTATAAGTTACTGGCAAAAATAACCAAAATGAGAACTGAGTAGGCTGAAGGGTCAACTAACCATTTGAAAATTAGAAAGTATTTCTTATATCAAAGTGATGCTTTACTTCAGTGAAATAGATTGCAACTGGAGGAGCTGTTTAAATATTACCAACTCTAGAATTAGTTTTGACCATTTAGAATGATCCTTGGAGGAAAATAAAATTGTGTAGATTTTCTAACTTTAGTAGTTTTTTTAAATTTTAAGATTGCTCTCAGTAGTAAGAAATATTTGAATGTCTACTCTTCAAGACAGCATGAAAAGTATAAAAAGAAGCAGCTTTTAACAGTTTTGGTGGGGTAATAAGAGAGATACAAAATAAAGAATTTATAACTAAAGTATGTGTGTGTGTGCCCGCGTGCACGTGCATGCATGCGCATGCTAAGTCACTTCAGTCATGTCTGACTCTTTGGGACCTATGGACTGTAACCCACCAGGGTCCTCTGTCTGTGGCATTCTCTAGGCAAGAATACTAGAATGGGTTGCCATGTCATCCTTCAGAGTAACTTCCCAACCCAGGGACCAAACCCTCATTTCTTACATCTCCTCCATTGGCAGGCAGGTTATTTACCACTAGCATTAAATGTCAAATAAGTGGTATTTACTTAGAGCAGGTGGAGATTATGCTAGGTAAAATAACTAAAGAAATATTTTGGAGGAAAGGAGCCTTAAGCTTGAATCTGAAGGGTGAATATAATTCATAAGTGATTGGTAATTTTTTTCCCCCACTCAGGCATTTTGGAGTACTTCCTTGGGTTAGGCGTTACACTGGCCACAGAAGATCTAAATACCCTAAGAGGATCCTGCCCACAAGAAGCTTACAGTGAAGAGAGACAAACGAATACAGTTCAAGGTACTGGGGTCTCAGGCCCCTGTGATCGACAGAGCGCCATGATCTCAGGTGAGATTCCATAAAAACCAACTGCCTTCTGATTTTAAAAGTCATAAGTCACAGAGTCAACTTGAGGCCCTTCAGTTGTCTCTCTCCTTAATAACCTTATTTTCTCTTGTAATTAAAATCTTTCATCCTTTTGGATTAAAAATGTGAAAGTGAAATTAAAATAGTGAGCTGAAAAATCACATTTAGCTGGAAAATTTGCAAGATCAATGCATCTCAAACCTGAGGATCTTGTTAAAATGCAGGTTCTGATTTAGAAGGTCTAGGGCAGGCTGAGGTCTGCATTTTTTACATACTCCCAGTGATGCTGATTCTGCTAGGGAGTAGATGTGAGCAGTACACTTTCAGTAGTGAAGTTCTAGGTGATTGATGGTTCATTTAAAGGCACAGTAATATGATGCTGTGAAAGTCAAGCAAGATACTTACATTTCAGGATTGTATGCACACCAAAAACAACAACAATAAAAAAATCTACTTAACTAGGACAATACAGAATGGAGGTTTCTCTCTTTTCAATCCCAAGTATCATATCTTTCTGACAAGTGTGAAGAGTTAATTCTCTCTCAAACATTTGTGTTAGTGTTTTCCAAAGTGTGAATATAAATGCACTGTGAGTGCTCAGTCAGGTCGCCAGCTCTTTGTGATGACTGGACTGTAGCCCACCAGGCTCCTCTGTCCATGGGATTTTTCAGGCAAGAATACTGGAGTGGATTGCCATTTCCTCTTCCAGGGGACCTTCCCCACTCAGGGATTGAACCCGAGTACCCTGCACTGCAGACACATTCTTTACCCCTGAGCCATCGGGGAAGCCCCATAGAGAATGTTACTTACAGTAAAATTTGAGAATCACTGGTTTAGGAAAATTAATTAAATACTTTGGGAACAAGATTTCAGAAAGACACTAATACTTTCAAAAGACAATTTCAAGACTTTTTTTGGTTTTGATATAAATTAAGCCAGAGATAAGGGGCTTTGCTCAGTGGTAAAGAATTCGCCTGCCAACACTGGAGACAAGGGTTCTATCCCTGTATCAGGAAGCTCCCCTGGAGAAGAAAATGGTAACCCACTCCAGTATTCTTGCCTGAAAACTCCCATGAACAGAGAAGATTGGTTGGGTCACAAAGTCAGACACAACTGAGCACCCAGGCTTGCAAGCCAGAAATAAATAGATGGATGAGGTTGAAGGAAAGGGAGGAGCTGAAAACTTCATGCCACTGTTTAATTTTTCCATTCCACAAATTTTACCAATTGGTGATTTTTTTTAGGTTAGTCCTTAATAACTGACACTTATCTAAAAGACTTGCTTTTGCTTTTTAAAAATTGTTTTGATTGCTTTAATATGTTTTCATTTTCCTCTTCACTCTTTGTCAAGGATTGAGGTTTGGCAATTTGTTGTCTTAGATAATGCCATCAAATCTGTTGATCAGTTAGTTAATCTAAATAAAGAATCCTCAGCTGTTTCTTGTATTTAAAGAAACATATGTTTTATGCAGAAAAGCACATGCCTAGAAGGGTTTGTAAACTTTATAATACTTCTTGTTGATTTTGCCTATATCTTTCATCTTAAAGTTGTGGATTTTTTGTTTGTTTTTTGGTGCAATGCACTCAGTATAAAATGTGATAACTAAAAATTGTCTTCAAAATAATATTTGTTTCTTAACAGGAATTGAAGTAATGATGAATTTCAATGTCTCTGTTAGGTGGCTCGGCTAAAGAACCCACCTGCCAATGCAGGAGTCATAGAGACATGGGGTTTGATCCCTGGATCCGGAAGATCTCCTGGAGGAGGGCTTGGCAACCCACTCCAGTATTCTTGCCTGGAGAATCCCATGAACAGAGGAGCCTGGCGGGCTACAGTTGACAGGGTCGCAAAGAGTCAGACACGACTGAAGTGAGTTAACATCCACGTACCCAGGGCTCTAGAGGTAAAATCTAATAGGTGTTACTAACAAAGAATTGCTGGATCCACATAACCCTCACTTTTCTCACACTCTCTCCTTAAATGCAAGCTTAAAAGCCATCCTTTTTTCTTCTTTCTCTCTTTTTTTAAAATAGTTCCTCAAACTTCAGACTGGGGCTCATGACATCAGGTCCTTCATTTTAAAAAACAAAAACCAGCTGATTAGAAGTTTAGACATATTTGCTATGTGTGGATTAGGAAGATAGGAGTTAATCTGAACTCAGGATGTTTGTAATTACATATTTACCAGCGGTGTTGCAGGATTTGGCTCTTCAGATTGGTAGAGGACCACCCACATCAGAATCACCTGAGTACTTAACTCAAAGCTTACATATTCCCCAACTACTCCCCACTAGCCCTCTCCCCCACAGGGTCACAAAATTGAATGTTCTGTAGGTCCACGTGCCCTTCCCCATTTCCTACCCCCACTCCCAGGAATTTTATGTGTGCTAAGATTTGAACACTACTCATTAGCTTGCATCCAAGCTGTGTATTTTAAATGACGATATTATGAAATTCTTATGGATTGAACTCCAGTAACTGCTACATTCTGTCAATAGTTTTATTCAGAAATACTCTACCATATTTCTTAAAAACTTTTGACCATGACCTAGAGCAAAAAAGAAAAAAGGACTTCCTTTGTGGTTCAACTGGTAAAGAATCCGCCTGCAATGTGGGAGACCTGGGTTCGATCCCTAGGTTGGGAAGATCCCCTAGAGAAGGGAAAGGCTACCCACTCCAATATTCTGGCCTGGAGAATTCCATGGACTGTGTAGCCTGTGGGGTTGTAAAGAGTCGAACACGGCTGAGCGACTTTCACTTTCACTTTTCACTTTAAAGCAAAAATTCATTTGCAAACCTTGTACCTCAAGCCCTGTCCACGGGTACACTTAACCGAAACAAACTTATTCTTACTCTTTGCAGTGCACTCAGATCATTCTACTTTCTTTCTGTCCCCCTCTCTTCCTCCCATGGCTTTTTCTTCCAAAGCTTGCCAAGATCTACTAAATTAATTTCCAAGCACATTTAGGTGTCACGACTTACAGTGTGAAAAGTTTGACTGTTAGCCTTCTGGTGTCTGTAATGTAAACTTCTAGATATTTCTTAAAATTTTGAGAGAGGGGAGAGGGGAAGACAGAGGGATAGAGAAATTTATAGGAAAGATTTCCAAGATAATATGTCCTCATTTTTACCAATCCTTTTAAAAAATATTTTCAGATGAAAGTTTACTTCTAGAAATCTACTTCTAGATTTATTAAAGTTTACTGATTTAAAATTTTCCCAATAACAAATAACAGCTTTCCTCTTTATCTTGAGTTACTTTTTTATATAAATAGTATCTGGCAATTTATTAACCAACAGAGCATACCAAACAACAAACTGTTTTATATCTTTCAGGAAGAAAAAAAACTAAATTTGAGAAGACCGGCATCCACTGAATTTGGACACAATTACAATGTGCTTTAAGTATTTCCTTGGGGAGGGAACACAACACCTCTACTCAATTAAGAGAAACATTTGTACAGTCCAGGTCTTTATTTTGACACCCATCATGCTATGAATTCATAGAGAATGGGCTCCAACAGTTCAACTGTTAGAACGGTTTTTAACTCCGTAACATTGATCCTCACAAAGTGTACTTCTCTGCGTAGAGGAAACTGGTGTTTCATCTGAACCCAAGCCCCTTTCTCTTTGGTTTCCTTCTTCTACTGATCATTTTCCTTCACACATTTCAGGAAGCTATCTCAACTCTAGGAGTGCTTCATATGCTTGATACACACATTAATTCTCTTGACCAGAATCTTGCCTTTAACTTGTTTGTTTACAGTGACACCAACAGCATGCTGAGTAATGTATACTCTCCCCGTTTTGCCATGGTAACATCTGTGGGGCATTCCTTTTTGAATATTACCCATCTCTTGATATCTGCACCATCACCCTTCTTGTAGATTTGCATGTAGGTAGCCAAAGGAACAATTCCAAGTTCTCCAAACGGCCTAGAGGACATGTGGAGGGTGCCCCTCCTCTTTCCCTTTGTGCTGGTCATTTTGGTGAATTGCTGGAAGAAGGTGGTTCCAGCCAAAAGGCTGAATTACTTTTAAAGATTAATGGAAAATAATTTAGCACATTCAAAGGACAAATATCAATATCAGCACTTCATGTTAAACTGGAAAAATAAGAAACAAAATTGTATGTAAAATAAATCAATACCCAACAATATAATTATGTAAAACTGAAATGATTATATCATTGGTGAAAGTGAAAGTCACCCAGTTGTGTCTGACTCTTTGTGACCCCACAGACTACGTAGTCCATGGAATTTTCCAGGCCAGAATACTGGAGTGGGTAGCCATTTCCTTCTCCAGGGGATCTTCCCAACCCAGGGATCAAACCCAGGTCTCCCGCATTGCAGGCGGATGCTTTACCAGTTAAGCCACATGGGAAGCCCTTTATGTCATTGGTGGACACACAATTTACCAACAAGTAAAAACCATACTCTTGAATATTTATAGAATTACTAAATATACTTAAACACATATATCTGTGAATTGGAAAGCTTTACTATTATTTCACTTCTGCAATTTTCTCATCATGATATAAAAGTTAAAAAAGTCAAGAAAATCCATGTATAATTTGTTTTGGGTCAACTGAGAATGGCAGTTGAGCCATCTCATCTTTGCTCAGTGGTGATCTGCCCACTCCCCTCAGAGATCGTGCTTGTTCAGTTCAGTCGCTCAGTCATGTCCAACTCTGCAACCCCATGGACCACAGCACACCAAGCCTCCCTGTCCATCACCAGCTCCCGGAGCTTACTCAAACTCATGCCCATTGAGTTGGTGATGCCATCCCACCATCTCATCCTCTGTTGTCCCCTTCTCCTCCCGTCTTCAGTCTTTCCCAGCATCAAGGTCTTTTCCAATGAGTCAGCTCTTTGCATCAGGTGCCCAAAGTATTGGAGTTTCAGCTTCATCATCAGTTCTTCCAATGAATATTCAGGACTGATTTCCTTTAGTATAGACTGGTTGGATCTCCTTGCAGTCCAAGGGACTCTCAAGAGTCTTCTCCAACACCACAGTTCAAAAGCATCAATTCTTCAGTGCTCAGCTTTCTTGATAGTCCAACTCTCACATCCATACATGACTACTGGAAAAACTATTGCCTTGACTAGATGGACCTTTGTTGGCAAGGTAATGTCTCCACTTTTTAATGTGCTGTCTAGGTTGGTCATAACTTTCCTTCCAAGGAGCAAGTGTCTTTTAATTTCATGGCTGCAGTCACCATCTGCAGTGATTCTGTAGCCCCCTAAAAATAAAGTCAGCCACTGTTTCCACTGTTTCCCCATCTATCTGCCATGAAGTGATGGGACTGGAGGCCATGATCTTTGTTTTCTGAATGTTGAGCTTTAACCCAACTTTTTCACTGTCCTCTTTCACTTTCATCAAGAGGCTCTTTAGTTCTTCTTCACTTTCTGCCATAAGGGTGGTGTCATCTGCATATCTGAGGTTATTGATATTTCCCCTGGCAATCTTGATTCCAGCTTGTGCTTCATCCAGCCCAATGTTTCTCATGATGTACTCCACATATAAGTTAAATGAGCACGATGACACTATCACCATGCAATCTTGCTTATGCATATGGACATCTGCATAGATGGCAATGCTTCCCACAAAAGTTGCTTATTCTCTTTCAGTTTGGCCAAGGTTAATTGTGGTTTGTTTGTTGGCAACAAAATTGACAAAAATCTTTTTTTTTCCTCCTTAACAGCCTTTTCAATTTCTCTTTTCCTTAATTCCCTTCCTATCACATTTCAACGGGCTCTAAAATGAAGCACTCCCAGGTGGTTCAGGACCATGGAGAGCGTGAGGAAGAGGCACTACCAGCATATCCTGGTCATACAGGTGGGGGAAAAGATGCTCCTGAAATAGTTGCTGGACAGTTCTCACTTAAAGTACATTATTGTCATGAAGAAAAGTGGAATCTTGATTCTCTGATATTTGGGAGAAGTTATTTTTCTGGACATTGTGTCAGTTTTTTCTAAACTTCTTCATCAAATTCTATGTAATGAAAGACAAGAACACACCCAAAGTAGGTAGAACCAGACACTGCCAGTACAAAACATCTTTTGAAGTTTCATGTTTATGATGTGAGGCCTTTTATGTAAATTTTCAAATTGTTTAACAGTTATGAGGCTTACCCACCTACCATAGAAGAGAATGAAATCATTCAGAGATACATGAAGTTGAGGATGGGTAATCAGAGGATTGTGTGAAGGCTCCCGTCTTATGTTTCTAGAACTGCCCTGGGAACTTGCAGCTTGTCCTTCAGTTCTGTGAACTACCTAGAATCCTTTCAGTAGTTTTCCTCCTCTCCCCTTTTAATTTTCCATAAGCTAGATTCATTTGAGTTTTGTTACTTGCAATTGAATGTGTTCTAATACCACAGATATGTAGGATGAGATGGATAAATGAGAAGAAAGGTAATTCTAGGCTAGAAGCAAACAAGTTTACAGCAAGGAAGCAGGGATGTAATGGGATTTTCTGGGACAGTGAGAAAATGAGCTTAAGAAAATTGAAGTGGTTTATAAGGAATGTATTTAAATAACTTCTCTGTACTAGAACTGAGCAAGAGTATATTAATCTTTCAGCTCTTCAGAAGGCAGTTGAACAAGAGCTATACAAATTTTGAATGCATATGCCATTTGACCCAGCTATTCCACTTACAGAAGTGAATTCTATGGAAATAATTGTTCATGGATATTCATTGAAATTTGTCTTGTCATAGAAAGTGACTGAAAACAACATACATGTCCATCAATAGTGAACTTATTAAATAAGTTATTCCATATTTGCATGTTGAAATACTGCATAGCCATTAAAGATAATTTAGGAAACTTATTTGTATCCCTGTGAAACAATTCTCACAGGAAAAAAAAGTCAAGGTACAAAACTGTATTATAAGTGCTCTCATTTGTGTTTTTTAAAAATCACAGGTATATTTTTATACATAGACAAACTCTAAAAGGGCAAACAAATCTTAGCAATGGTTTTCTCTGGGAAAGGGACTCTGTTTTCCCATATTCTCTTATAGTGCTTGTTTGTTTTTTCAACTACATTCTTGTATTACTACTGGAATTAAACCATGATGTTTAATATAGCAAGTGTAGAACAAGGAAAACTTTAATAATATGTAACAATTATCACTTGCTTAGGAATTTCTATATAGCCATTGTTTTAAGCCCTTTAATATGCTTTCTCATTCAGTCCTCACAGCAACCCTATAAGAAAAATGTGTTTCTCAAATTGCACTTGACATTGCTGCAAATAAGGCTCAAAGAATCTTAATTCAAAGTGCCATAATTCCAAACCCTGGCTCCAGAGCTTTTATCTTTAACTATTCCACCCGTTTGCCTCCAATGAGTTGCTCCTGACTTTCCTGTAATACACCCAAGGACAGATTTCTGTGGCTGAAAAACTAAACTTCCTTGTAGACAGCCTATCAGTGGCATCCAGTAAGGATTTCTTCACAATGACAATAAAACAAAGTAGAACAAGCTTACCCTTCTGTACCAGGTGCTTAGATTTGGGGTAGAGGTTTTCTTAAACTGAGAGTTAAAGTAAATGCCACTTTGTAAATTTCACTAGAGAGCAATGAATGATAATAGTTTCTCTAGCAGTTGGAGCCATTAAATTGTTTAATTGGGGGTAATGACAAAATTGGACTTTGTAGTTAGATCACTCTTGTAGTTTTGGAGGATGGACTTAGAAGAGAAAACGTTGGAGGCAGAGAGGTAATCGACATGGAAATTTATTAGGCATCTACACAGCACTCACTTTCTTCATCTCCTACCAAGAGCACCCTGATCCTCTGTGGATTAATTCATAGAAGGCAATTAATTTAAGCCTTCCTTAGAACTGCATTGTCTTGTTCAATTGGCTCTGCTACTTACCATCATTGTAAATGTTGATAACTTATCTAACCTGCCTCATGTCTCAAGTATTAAAAACATGGGCATAATAATGGTTATTTCATTGGGCCATTGTGAGATTTTAAACAGATAGTTCCTGTATTATCAATGCTTCATAAATGTTAGTCACCATCATTATTGTTGTCTTAGCCATGTATTTTGAATGGGATTACTCCCACCAGTAATCTCTCTCGTCTTTAATCCCTCATCCCTTGCAGAACAGGGCCTACCCTGCAGTGGTGAGAATCATAGAAATTTTATCCTTCAAGAAGGGGTGAGAGTTTGCTAGGTCGACTCTCACCTTCACTTACTTTATTTTTCTTAAGTATCACAAGTTATGTTAAATATGCATGCGTGTGTGCTAAGTCATTTCAGTCATGTCTGACTCTTTGCGACACTATGGACCATAGTCCACCAGGCTCCTCTGTCCGTGAGATTCTCCGGGCAAGAATACTGAAGATCTCCAGGGGATCTTCCCAACCCAGGGATCAAACCCACATCTCTTAAATCTCCTGCATTGGCAGGTGGGTTCTTTACCATTAGCTACCACCTGGGAAGGCACAAGTTAGATATATCTCCAGACAAATATGTGTTGAATGACGATGGTTTAAGGGAGTATTCCAGGCATGGAGAACTATGTGAACAATGGTGGGAAAGTCATGAAGAAAAGCAGGCATTCTGTGTGGACTGGAAGAAAAGGAATACACCACCTGTCTATAAATGAGATCATGCATGTAAGGGATTAATCACCTCGTAATCATCACAGTTCCATTATAAGAAGCAGGGACTATAAACTCTTTGAGGAGAAGAGGGTCCTCTTCATTTGAGAATCACTCATAGCAAGCACTCAGTACCCCATTGTAGAGCTGAATGCTTTTACATTAACCTCGAGGGCCCACACAGCTGACTTTGAAAGCAGATCAAAGAGTTTGGAATTACTTAGCAAATAATAAGGAGTACTTATGATAAACAGGGGAAGTAACATGAGCAGATCTGAAAACAGAATAAAATGGAAATCTTGGGCAAGGTAGGTTAGGTAGAAACCTGTTTCAAAAGAGCAAATGAGATAATGAGGGTCCAGGTTAGGTTCATGGTGATAGAAATGAGGAGGAAGGAACACATGTGGGAAAAAAAAAAGAGAAACAACTCAGAGGTGGGGATATTGGACTTTGAAAACAGCCAGCTGTTTGGAACAATTGTAAGAGAGAAGTCAAAGATGACTGGGATATTGATCCTTAGCAATTGGGAGGATGGTGGGACATCTGACTACTTTTTACATTTTTTTTTTAAGAAATGGAAGACTATATTATGCACAGAAAAAGTAGTAGCAGGAAGTCAGCATGTTTGTGCCAGTTCCCAGTCCCTCAAGCCCACAAGGGTGACTTAGTTGGCTGATACAAGTTTTGCATAGAATATAGAGAGGAGTCCAGGGCTATAGGCCTCACAAGCAGCAAACAAGCCACCCTCCATCCTTGGCATCCTCCAGGGAGTGGGCAGTTACTGGCAGTCACTCTGTGCTCCTTGATCGATTTGCCTGCTCATATGACTAGCTACAGAAACTGCCCAGTGTCAGAAGACAGATCTGTGTACCAGCTGGACACTACGAAACAATTTTCAGAGACTGCTTTGGGCCCACGGAGGATGTCCCTTCCAATGCCATTTTTTCAAGTGTACTCATTGGATCAGTTTTAAGGAAAACTGGCTTGAAGTTCTTTTCTTTTCTTTGCTCGAACTCTAACCTAATTAATTTTTCTTCTCTTAATCCTTATTCATTATTAATTAGAATTATTGGTAAGTAACATTGGTTTTTGTCATGAAATTTCTGATCAGTAATTATATAAGCTAATTTTTACAATAAGCATGGTGAAGATTATTTTTATAACTCAAAATAATGGTGTGTTATGAGCAGTTTCCTAGAATCTACTTTTGGAATCCTTTGCATCTAGTTTGGAGATTCTTTTCTATAATAAGGATCAGCACATGAGATAATACAGTTACTAAACATTTCATCCAAGCTTTTAAAATGCATTGAATATTTTACTGCTTAATTCCTCTAGGTAATGTAGAAATCTTTGAGGAATTTTTATATTGTATTAATTGAAGCGTATCAAGGTCGATTGATTCCAAAGACCATAAACTCTACTTACATAACATGAGGCAAAAGTAAAAATTAAAACTTGCGATCTCTATTCCACTTCGTTAATTCTTTTTGATGGAGGAAAAGGGTTATTTGAAGAGTTGTCACCAGATTTGTCTCTAGCAAAACTGAAGTGCTTATTGTTATTATTAGCCGAGTTGCTTGTCAGTTGGAAGACTGAATTTTCCAGAAATTATTCAAAGTGTAACTTTCAAGACTCTGGCTACCAAAGGTTAATTCCTATCTTTCTCTAAGTTGTAATACATTCATGGGTTCTTCAGACATTAAAATAAAGGTCGACACTTTGAAGGAAGTAAAAATAAAAGTGGGCATTTATAGCTTTAAGTTTTGTTTGTTTGTTTTACAAAAAGAACTGCTCTGGGTGTCTCGTTTGTGAGGTAATGCTGTTGGCTCCTCTATTAGTGTGCAGGTTGGGCTGTCTTTGTCAACATATCTGGCTTCAGCTCGGAGGTGGATTCAATAATGTTATGCTGACTTGCAGGCTACAAAGCCTCTGACGAAAGGTCATCACATCTGAAGTCTGATTTTATGTCAGTAGCTGACCTTCTTTTCACCTTCTTCCCCATGGACTTCTTAACTTTGTATTTCTAAAGATATTATACAGTGCCATCTTGCTGACTTAGATGAGACTATGACAGATTTAATGTCACTTCACCTTTGCAAGGGAGAATTCAAGACCTATCACAGTGTCCAGAACCCAAGTAGCATATTTGAATATTGTGAACTGCAGAATTGGTTGCATTAACTAGACTGGAATGGAAATGATGAAAAAAGGCAACTTGTGCAAGGAATTATCAGTTTATCTTCTGGAGAAGGTTATCGTGGAGGTCAAATATTTCTTTTGTCTAACAATATTGGAATAAAGAAACATCCCTACTTATAGTCCAGGCTAAGGGATGAATAATCTTTTAAACTGTGCCCTGTATCCAAGATGCTGTCATTTACAGGGTGTGAACACAAGATAGAAAACACAGGTTTAATGCCTTTCCCCACTCTCAATGTTTTTAAGAGAAAATTTGCATTTTGGTTGATTTTTCACTGAAGCAAAATGACAATTTACATTTCAATTGTGGTTTTCCCTAGGCACGCTAAAATGTGGAGTTCATTGAACATGTCAGTCTATCAGCATTTTCTACGGCTATTGTTTCCAGTGTCTAAAATGGTGTGACAATACCACTTTGATGATACTGTTTTTGTTCTGTATGACAGCGCACAGTGAGTTACATACTCCTAATAATACGTTTACTCCGTGAAGGTATGAGCAGGCAAGGTCAGAAGTTATGTTAATCATTTGGGGATGAGCTCATTTGGTCAAATGTCATCAAACAATCTTCTGAGAGCTAAAAATTAGTCAAATTATTGGCTTAACTAAAATGCCTGGTGGGTTAAAGTAAATGATTATTCAGTTCAGTCACAGACAGTTGATCTGGTAGGCCTCGTTGACAATGTTCTAATTAATGCATTATAATAGTCAATCAAAACTTACTTACTGGGCACCGATCAGGTACATTACACTGATACTCAGTAGGGAGCCATGAGGAAATAACCCACTAAGACATTAGCTAAATGAAGACATAAACTGAGCAACCATAAACTGCAAGCTAATGGGGTAGACATTTGTCATTATGAAGTATCAGCCTATAACTATGGGACTGAATGACCCCAAAACACAGATGTGTTATGATCATCCAACTACACAGGGATCCAAAGGATCCAAAACCTAACCGTCTTTAAATCGCAGCTGTCTCTGCCTGGGAAAATAGGAAAGATGCAGAAGTTAACGACTGGCAGTAAAATGACCACATAGCCTGCAAATTCTCCAAGGGAGGAACTCCGTTAATAACTGTCAGAATCATCTGGGGATCCGGGTGCTTGGACAAAGTCAGATTGCTAGAAGCCACATGAGACCTAATTAATGCAAATCCAGTATGCACATTTTAAATAAGTTCTTTAGTTAATTCTGGAGTAGACTGTATAGTTTACATACTGAGAAATACACTTTGTGGTTTCACCTAGAACCCTAGACCTATACCATCCTTTTTGTTTCTTTTGGGAAAGTACAACTTAAGTGTATTTTTAATGTATATGAAGTCTAATATGGATATGAGAATTCAAAACTATGATATCATTTTCAGGTATTATTTCTATTACTATTATCTTACTTTCTTAAATCTGTAAACTGGTAGCCTGCTGGCCAGATGTGGCCCATGGGTGGTTTTTTAAATTGGTCCAAATAGCATCTTTAAAATTAATTGTCAACATAAAGATTAGATGATACATCAAAATTTGAAATTCTAATTTCTCTTTAAAAATCAGATGATCTGAGAGCATTGGCCCTCGATTCCCAAATGGCCTCAGTCCGCCAGAACTGAAAAGCAGCTGCCCCTTTTGATGGCCAGTTTGCCATGATCGTGTGGCTCCAGGTCACCCCCCTGACACCATGGCCAAGTGTCAGGTGCCATTTGTCACCACAGTGTTTCAGATGCTTTCTTCCATCCAGCCCACTTGACTCATTTGTATCACCTGCCTACCTCCTGGAGGCACTGGAGTTGGTGACCCCTGTCTTAAGGGTGCTTCAAAACCAATTGCTTTTGAACAGTATTTGATGATGAAGACAGATCTTCTGCATTCAGACTTGTTCGACTGCATCCCCCTGGGATGCCCACACTATGCTCCTGGGCAGAATCTGGGCTAATTCGTTTAAAGAATGCCCATTAATCAAAAGAAGGTCCAATCTAACTCAAGTCTTTCTAAGAGGCTACACAATTTGCCTTGTCTAATTGATGTGCATATTTTATTTTGTGTGTGTTTTTTATAGAAAAAGGAAAGATACTGCTAGAGATTATTGTTTTATAGAAAACATGGTTACTGTACTTTACCAAAAATAAAGATAAATAATAAATTTAAGAAACTCTTAAAAATTCACTTTAAATCAATCACATGTGATTAATAGCCCAAGAATATTAAATAGGCAACATGTTGTCCATTTTCTTTGTTCTATAAAAAATATAGTTAAAATATTGTGTATTATTTCTCAGCAAGGCCTCAAAAATAAAATGTGTTACCTTTACCCCAGACCAAATATAATCTGGCAATGGAAAAATAAGCCTTTCTCTTCATTATTTTCATCCCCTTGATTATGTGCACTGAAAATAAGTCTCAAGGAAATTCAAAGTAAAAATCTGTTTATGAAATATTGCCTGGGTTTAAGTTTGAAAACTACATCTCATATCATTTCTCTCCTGCAGTCCGGGTGTCCCTTTTAGCAGTGGAAGCCCTGTGGATGAGTTCATGGTGATTTAGGTGTGGATTCTAAGTCTCTCATATTTTGTCTCTGTGAACTTAAAACTAGTCATTTTGATTATGAGCTTCTTGTCTGTAAAATGTGATAATAATCCTACTTCATAGACTCATTAGGAGGATAAATGTAGTTTTATGAATGAAGTTCATGGCACAGGTTCAATAAATGATTTGCAACCCCATGGACTGTAGCCCACCAGGCTCCTCTGTCCATGGGATTTTCCAGGCAAGAATGCTGGAGTGGGTTGCCATTTCCTTCTCCAGGAGATCTTCCTGACCCAGGGATTGAACCCCGGTCTCCCGCATTGTAGGCAGATGCTTTGCCGTCTGAGCCACCAGGGGAGTCTAATAAATGATGGCTCTATTTGAATCAGTGAGGCTGACGCTTTTTCTGATACTGTTGTTGTTCAATCACTCAGTTGTGTCTGACTCTTTGTGACCCCGTGGACTGCAGCATGCCAGCCTCCCCTGTCCTTCACAATCTCCCAGAGTTTGCGCAAGTTCATGTCCATTGAGTCAGTGACGCTATCTAACCATCTCATCCTCTGCCACCGCCTTCTCCTTTCTCCTTCAATCTTCCCCAGCATCAGTCTTTTTCCAATGAGTCGGCTCTTCTGACACTGACTAAACAATATTTCATAGGTCCTAAGAAAAATCCCCAAAAAAGTATGCCGTAAACCCTTGTTTCACTTTTCCTTTTAAGGAAATTTATTCACCTAACAAAAGAAAGGCAAAGGAATGTATTATTCATGACAAAGCAGTGTTTAGGCTAATAGCTAATCATCACTGCTGACTCTTGTTCAGTCTCTAAAAATTAAGGTCTACAGAAAAGTAAATGTTTCTTTTAAAAATTAACTTTTATTTTTGAAAGTAAGATCAAAGAATCTATTACCACAGATCCAAAGGGGAGTTGCTGGAAAGTCAGGTGA